GTCCCTTGGGAGCTATTTATACTCACCCTAGGTGACCAAGCCTGTGGCCATTTGTAAGCATCCACCGCCTCAGAAGCCAATGCTCCTACTCTCAGCAAACTATGTGAATGAACCTAGCTTTGTTACTCTGGGAAAAAGAACTTGATAAGTGACAATTGCAAGGATATGGCCCAAAGGGAACATCTTAAATCATATGTTGCTTAAGCTAATACCTTCTCCCACCCATGGAAAATCAGCTTTCCTCAAGCCAAGAACAACTGTTTGTAGAGCCACCTGCCCTAAGCCAAGAACTGTTTGTAACTACAGATGTGCAAAACTCTTGTTTCAGTTTACAGACCATCTGGACTTGCCCTGTTCACAACTCAAACATGAACACACTTTCAGAAAATTCACACATGGTGTTCATGTTGCCAGTTTCATGCTTCAAGTCAGTGGCAGATGTGTGCACTTTTGGGGGGGAAAAGCATACAGAAATATGCACTTTCCAGTTCAAAATGTGCACTTCTCTCCTCTGAACAAGCCGAAAAACATATTGCAAATTAAAACGGGAGCAAGCCAAACTGAGTTTCAAAGTGGGCCTTGGAGAATTTCAGCGAGCACAAATACGACTAGTTCACCCACCTCTCTTTTCAGCAGCTGAGAGCAGGGCTTGCTTTGCAGAACGCATGTTCCTCGAGCCAAGAGCTTACTTTATTTAATGCATTTGAAATAACAGGTTTATGGCAGGCATATATATATATATATATATATATGCCTGCACCTAGCTCAGCTAAGTGCAGCGCCTTCCCGTGGATGTTCCATTTTGAACTCTCTAATACTATTGGCCTCCTTTTTAAAAAAAAAACTCCCTTGCATTTCAGCTGTGGCAGTTTATCTTGCGCTCAGGAGCTGCTAGGAGCGATGGGCTTTTCTGAATCCTGTTTGTCGAGGGTGCAGACCAAGAGCCAAATCCAGTCTCTGGCATCATGCCGATTTCCTCCGGTCGCACCCACTTTCCCACAATCACCAGTCCTTTGGTGCTCTCCAAGCTTTTGTGCCGTTCCCCCCTCCTTCCTGTAAAAGGTTGAAACGCTTCTCCTGCTGGGTGGCAGTAAACGCATTAGGCAAAAATAGACTGGTCCTTTGGCCCTGGCAAACCACTGGAATAAGGTCCCCAAAAGGGTCTCTAAACTGGGATTCAGCCCTTAATCTTAAAACGGTTTGGTGCCCTGGCAGCTCATCAAGAAATGATCTTCCCCAGGATCCAAGGGATGTCTTCCTCTGCTCATTTTTTCTTCTCAGTATTCCTCATCTCCTGCAGCAGTCAAATCCATTCTGCACCGTGACGAAAGAGAACAAACCTCTTTCCGTTTTCCATAACATGCTTTTCCGTTGTTCCCTTCTGATGAAAGACCTGTACACGAATCCCAAGGTCAGAATTCATCCTGAAGTCTAAAGAGGAAAGCTTAGGCCTTAACGGTTGCTCAGATCCCCTCCTACGTGAGTCTTTTGAACAGCAAAGCAAATGAATCCATGCAAGGAGAGAACGGCGGGAGCTTGCAAATGCACCTCAAGATAGCACAGGGGATTGGCTGAGCTGCTCTCACAAACACTAAAAGAGATTAAAGATGAAAGGAAATATTTAACCACCTTTTGGGGGGAACAGCTGGTGTGAAAATATTTGTTAATGGGGAAAAGCTTCCTTGCCTGGAGAGAGTGTTTTGGATCTGCTCAAAAGAGCAGCGTTGGCATAAAGTGTTGGCTGCTGGTGCTGTAACGCGAGTTAGAAAAGCATCTTTCTTCCTTCCCTCCCGTCTTCCCATTCAGGACGCTGTTCAGATGTTACCTAATTTCATTCTTCGCTGCCCCCTCCCCATGCCACAAGAATGCTAGTTTTGGAAATCAGAGTGCACACATGACTCGGAAAACACTGCATGGAAAACCCAGGCACAGGGAGATAGATACTTTGCACAGGAGGGCAGCGTTGTGAGTCCTTTGCCTCGGCTGCGAGATACACAGATCGGCTCCCCTCTTTTCCCTGCATGTGGATATCCTGGCCCCTCCCTGTATGCGGGTGCCCCCCCATCCCCTCCCCCCCCCGCCTTGCTCTGTTCTGATTTCGGCCTCAGGCACAGCTGGAATGGAGCCCCGATACCCCAATACAAAGCGTCATTGTCGTCATTATACAAGATGCTTTAGAATAGCCTCATTCCACCGGGTGCACTTCAAATGTGTTGGAGTACAGCTGCTATGAGGCATCTCCTGCATGGTCAGTTGTCAAGGAAGATGGGGGCTGTAGTCCAGAACATTTGAAGGGATCTAGTCTGGGGAAGACTGCTCTGCCTGCCTGCCTGCCTGCCTAGCTAGTAATTCAGCCAGCATGTCAAGTCACCTTTGCTAAGCTGGAAAGGTGCATTCCTACAGCTGGATGGGCGACCAGATGTGGAAGTGGAGCAGGGGACCAGATGCAGTGGCTTGTGGCCCTTCCTGTCTTTCAGTTTGCAGCTTCCATCGGCCCATGGTGGGAAGGTTGAAGCTGTGGTCCAAAAGATCTAAAGTTGCCTCCCCGTGATTTGCTTCCTCCCTTCCTTTGGCCCAGGCTTTTGTGAGACTGTGAACTCCTCTACATGGTTAGAACACCAATTTATCATTTGGTTTAATGGATTGTGTAAACTGCTGAGAGCTTCAGCAGTGGGACAGGATAGAGATGGGGTGGGGTGGGGGCTAGAGGGGCTCTGAAGACCTGGATTCTAACCCCTGCTTGATCATGAAGCTCAGAGTTGTGAGCTTCATGCTCAGAGTTCCTCAGAGTTGTGAGGACAGCACGGAGAGGACAGACTTGGCTTCCATGGAAGACGAAGGACAAATGGGATATAAATGTATTCAATTCACTCATTCATTTTGATACCATCCAGTAGCCAAAGCTCCCCGGACACTTCAGGAAATGCACAGAATTTGCAGAAATAAGCCACAGATGAGATACATCAATGCCTTTAAGATACGCAGGTAATCCCTTGTTCCTGGCAGAAAGCAGCAATGAATTGAAATGATGCCTGGGGAAAGTGAAAGAAGGAAATGCAAAAGCAGGACTGCAGCTGAACATTAAGAGAACAAAAATTATGACTAAATAAGGATTACAGAACTTCGCTGTCAGCAATGAAGGAATTGAACTTGTGAAAGGTTTTGTCTACCTTGCCTCAGTCATCCATTCAAAGGAGAGTGCAGTCCTGAGATTCAAAGAGGACTGAGACTTGGAAGGGCATCAGTGAGCGAACTACAGAAGATCACCCAGTGTATGGACGTTTCACTGGAGACCAAAGCCAAGATGGTCCACACCATTGTAGTCCCAGGCGCTAGGTATGGGTTGAAAGCTGGTCAGTGAAGAGTGCGGACAGGAAGAAAATGGCCAGGCTGGAAACTTCGTGCTGGAGGAGAACTTGGACTGACGCAAAGACGACGACGTGGGTCCTAGACCAAATCAAGCCAGAGCTTTCCCTAGAAACCAAAATGGCAAAACTGGGGCTCTCATGCTTGGTGCACATGATGAGAAGATGAGACTGGACAGGACAGATTTGCCAGGGAAGGTGGAAGGGGAAGGGGAAGACAAGCATGAGATGGCTGGACTCCATCAAGGAAGCCACAGCCTTGAATTCCCAAGCGCTGAGCAGGGCTGTGAAGGACAAGACATCACGGAGGGCATTAATATACAAAGTCACCTCAAATCAGAGATGCCTTGATGGCACATAACAACAACACAACAGCATGACATTTCAGTATAAAAAATTGATTTAAATAATTTCAATAAATTACAAAATCTGTTAAAACCAGCTGGCATCAGTGCCCTCACCATAGGCCTGGGGACAGAGAACAGTCTTGACCTGATGCTGAAAAGATGACAGTGTTGGAGAGATCCTCCGTTAATAGGGGCCACCACTGAGAAGCCCCTTTCCTTTGCTGCCATCATCCAAGCCCCCAAGTGGAGGCACTTCCTATTTACAATTTGAATGCTAAATTAAAAACAAACAGATAGGTGGCCTTCTCATACCTGTGGAATTGCTCCAGGCAAAACTGGAAGGCTTGTGCATAGGCTGCTTTATCGGAAGGATTTGGGCTGGGCTCTGTTGTATTAAGGAGGAGAGTAGGATAAACTACGTAAGGCTGAATATCAGTCACGCCCAGTGTCGGTACAAGATGAGCAAGGGTGAATCCTACCTCGCACAGGCACATGTCTCTCTTGCCACCAAACTCTTTAATGCTGTCTTCTAGGAAGACAATGATACTACGGAAAGTATCGGTAATGCTATGAGAAGTTAAGGTGGCACCGTGACAAGCTGTTTGCACGTGCCAGGGATATCCTAGGACCACTGAATGAGGGCGTTCCCCCACTTGGGCCCCACACCTGCTGCCCCTTTCAGCTTCCTGCATCAGAAGAAGGGCAGCCATCCCCATAGCCAAAACGCCTTTCCACTGGCGGCTTGTGTATCTCGGCGAAAAGGCAAGATTTCAAAGCTCCTCAAAACACTCGCGAGAAATAAAGCGCCCTTTGTGAACACTGACAACAGCGAGGACAAAAGAGCGACGCGCCATAAGCCCCGGTTCCTAACCAGAGGGCTAACAAGCTGCAAATAGACTTTGCTGGCAACACTTAACTTTATTTTTGGGCGATTTAGCCCCTCATTGTTTTCACACTTAACCAGTTTTTAATTAAAAAGTGACTTTAGCGTGATGGTGTTAGAATTAGATTAGATTGAATCCAGGTTCAATCGCTGGCCGACTTGGCCAATTCATGTCCATCTCCTCTTTCTGTAATCTGCTTATTAGATTCTTATTGTCAGAAAGGATTAGTGTTATGAGCCGTAGGAATTCCTTTCATTTCCCCATCAGGCGAGGTGGTGGAGTGTTAACTCCTTTCTCATAACAATAACATTCTGGATTTCTCCTCCCCCCCCCCCGCCCTCCCCTTCCCCCCTTTGCCCCTCATCTGCCCTCCCTCGGCCCCTGTCCTGTCTTCTCTCGTGCAGAGATCTGTGCCGCGGACTGCGGAGGGCACGGCGTGTGTGTCGGAGGCGCCTGCCGCTGCGAGGAGGGCTGGATGGGAGCGGCCTGTGACCAGCGCGCCTGCCACCCCCGCTGCAACGAGCATGGGACGTGCCGTGACGGCAAGTGCGAATGCAGTCCGGGCTGGAACGGAGAGCATTGCACCATTGGTAGGAGACTCTCTCGTTGAAAAGGAGCGAGCGGCAGGGGGTGGCGGGAAGGGTGGCCAGGAGCATGCTGAATCGAGCGGGCGTGACTGTACTGTAGCATGCACATCTCTTCTTATGTCCCTGGATTTTCATGTTCCGGTGTCATGCATTTTCATGTGGCTGTCCTCCTTCCACACCCCGGAATTCCCAATGTCCTTCCATGTGGCAATAGGAGCACATTCACACTAATTCACTTGAAGGCCAGGGCCATGGATAACTTCCATTTACCCTCCATAAGTACAGCATCTGAAGAACATCCACCTTCTTTTCAAGGGAAAGCAAGCGTCTAGTCCTCATGGTTGTAAAGGTGGGCTTTAGTATGTGTGGGGAAGTATCCGGTGAGATCAAACCAGCCCAGGTGTGGAGCGGGGTCTGGGTGGCTCACAACTGCAAGGTCAGGCCCCAGTTCCGTTCCCCACCATGGGGAGAAGCAACATAGTATGCAGAGCAGGTCAATATTAGCATCAGCTACTCGGGTTGCGAGATGCAGTCGTGCTGGTCCTGAATTGGGTTTGAATTTTGGGGATTGCAATTTTGTATTGCTTGTTTTAGCCACAGGCCTGCACGATTCGTAGCTCGCTTGGCACTTCTCTGTTTTTGCAGTCCCAGACACAAACAGGCATTTTATTTAAGTCAAGAAACAAAATGTCACAGAAAAATGTAGCTGACACGTTAACAATGAAAACTGAAATTTCCCTGTAGATTTTTGGAAGGCTGGGATAGGGGAGCAGCAAACCCGGTTCGACGTTGCCATCCGCTTGAAATCAAACACAGCAAGATATATTGAAAGGCTGTCTCTCCTCACCTCTGGAGACGGCTGAAACATATTTAGAACATAAAAATAGGTGAAGGGAGAAATGTCAAATTGTCTTTGAGAATTCACTTCCTTTCCCCATTTCTCTCAGTGTTTAGCCTTTAGCTTTTGGACCCGAGTTGAGGAGCAGCCCTGCTCCGCTTGCGTTTCTCACCCCACCACTTTGCATTCACAGCAAAACGCACAAATGGAGAGAAAATTGGGGGTGCCCCCACCCCCACCCTGCAGAATTTCTGCACTTGAGCCGCTCCAGTAGACGTTCAGCGTGCCGCCTTTTTTGTCCTGTTATGACTTGGGGTCGAACGAGGTCGGCAGTGGTGACACGGGCCAGCTCAAAGGTTTGGGGACCCTCAAGCAGGACCCCCTCGATAGGCACCCCCTCTGTGAGGCTGCCTGCTCACTGCCTCTCAGCTCCTCATCCTCTCTCTTGCTCGCTGGACGGACAGAAAGCCCGGGCACGAGCGAGCCATGGCTTCTGCTCCTGCTCCTGGTTTTGCTCTTTCTCACCACCATCCTGGCTGTCGGGAGGCAGGATCCCCCTTGTCTCTTTCAAAACAACAGACCGTTGTTTGGCAAAAGCTCCTTAGTTCCAAGGTACATCCAGCAAATTATAGCCAGGAAAGAGTCTCTGAGCATGCACAGAGCTGTTTATGGAACCCAAACTGGAAGAACCCTCCTTCTGAGTAACCCTAGGCTCCTGGGAGGGCCCTTCTAGATGCAGGCCAGCCTCTTGACTGTATGCAGCCTCTGTGGCTGGCTAGCCCTTCTCTCCCATGTGGGAGGAGGCTGTTGGGAGCTACTGCCTTCTCCAGAGGCAGCATCCTGCATGCGCCAGTTGCGGAGGACCTGGGCAGGAAGAGGTCTTGCACCCGCCTGCTGGAGGCATCCTGTGGGCAGCTGGTTTGCCCCTGTGTATACAGGGTGCTGGACTGGATGGATGGACCTTGGGTCTGATCCAGCAGGGCTGTTCTTACGTCCCAACGCTGTATCAAGGATCAGACCGTGCTCCCCTGGCCCCTCTCCCACGTCCCCACAAGCATGTGCCAGGAACAGTCGCCTCTTCCATTCCCGGGTTCCTCTGTCAGTTCCTCCCTCCCTCCCTCCCTCTGCCGGGGTGGACCCTTGGCAAGTGCCTGGGGATGCCAGCCGTGAACTACAACCTGGACAGGAGAACCAGGCTGGGGGGTTTTTAACGTCTGCTCCATTCCTGCTTAAAGTGAGGGGAAGGGTGTCTGTTTACTGTAAGGCTCCGTCTACACGGATGAGGAAAACTGAAAGCTCTCCTAGATTGAGGCTAGTTAACCTTGGCCCTGCTTTCTTACTTATTTATTTATGCAGGTATTTATATCCCACCTGTACCTGCCACATGCTTCCCTAGGTGGCTTACAGCCACATATTAAACCTATTAAAACAACACATTGAACATATATACAAATAACAACATGTTAAAACCTATTAAAACAGTTAAAAGATTAAAACATTAATATAACAATAATGTGGAATGGCCTCCAACATTCATAGGGCTAAATATTTTTGAAAAAATTAAAGGCATGTATTCGCCTGGTGCTTAAAGGAAACAAAGATGGCGCCAGGTGAATTTCCCTAGGGAGGGTGTTCCAGAGATGGGGAGTAGAAAAGGCTCTTGGTTGCTGCCCCTCTTGCCTCCCTGCGGGGTGGTTCTCGCAGAAGGGCCTCCTGCGCTGATCTTAGGGGGCGGGTAGGTAGATCTGGGTGCAGACGGTCCTTCAGATGTTGCTCACTTTGTGCTTCCTTCCGGTGTTGGCGCCATGCCAAGGGGAAAGGAGCTGGTAACACGGGACAGAAATGTGGAAGAGGGACGTGGGTGGTCCTCTTCACCCCTGCACTTCGCTGTGACATGGCTCCACCTGTACAGTTCCTGCACGCTTAGGCCGCAAGCTTCCCTGCGTGCCATCTCTCCGTCACATGCAAACCCATCGCTTTCGATCCTGGCTCTGAAATGGCGTGGCCGCCCGTGGCTTGCCCCAACTTTCTTTTATCCCCTATGTATGCTAACGTTGCCTGCCGGGGCCCGTTTGCAGCGGGCGCTCCCTGATCGGGCGCCCAGGAGCATCCCTGCAGTTGCCTTCCTGTCTTCCCCTTCCTTGCATCAGACACCCTCCACCCCCTGAGCACAAGAGCGGCTTGTGAAGCCACGGAGAAGTCAGATGGAATGACGACGGGTCTGTTGAGTCACTGGGCTGCACGGACGAGCCCTTCCTCTCCGCTCGGTGCTGGTCCTCCAGACGATGTGACCCTGGTGGTGGAAGGGCCAGCTGGGGAAGAGTCCAGCATCCCAAACTGGGGCCACTGTGACTGCACAGCTGCATTCCCATGTGCAGGCTCTAGTTCACATAGACCCTGAGACGGAATTATTTGGCGTCCCAGCAGTGACCCCCAAACCCCTCACATGAGGCATGGAAAGGAACCTAGAAACAGAGCGAGTCAGAAGGGGCCTCCCGGGCCATCTAGTCTGACCCCCGGCTCAGGCTGGCTCTGCTCGTGACGTGCCTACCATGTGCATGTGCAGCCTATCCTTGAACACCCTCGCCAATGGGGCTTCAACCACTGGAAGCCCACGGAAGCCCATTTCATACCCCAGAGGTCCTGTCAGGAAGTACTTCCTGGCATCCACACTTAATCTTGGTTCCTGGAGCTTTGCTCCATTGGGATGCATCCTGCCCTCCACTGCAGGGGGAAAAGGTCTCTACCCAACTCTGTGTGACATCCCCTCACATACCTGTATGTCGCCAACAGATCCCCTCTGAGTCTCCTCTTCTCCAGGCTGAAGAGACCCAGTTCCCTCAGTCTCGCCTCATACGGCATCCCCTGCAAACCGGCCACCAACCCTGTGGCCCTACGCTGCACTGACTCTAACCTGGCTATATCCTTCCTGTAATGAGGGGCCCAAAACTGAACGCAGTACTCCAGTTGCGGGCGCGCCAGAGTCGTATAGAGTGGCAGTAACACCTCTCTCGATCTAGAAGCCACACTTCTGGCTATGCAGCCAAGGGTGGCGTTCGCCCTCTTGACCACCGCATCACACGGCTGACTCATGTTCAGCCTGCAGTCGACCAGCACCCCGAGGTCCCTTTCACAAGTGCTGCTCTCCAGCCACTTGTCCCCTAACCTGCACTTATGACACCCATTCCTATGCCCCAAGTGCAAGACCTTGCACTTATCCACACTGAACGCCATCCTGTTGTCTCCTGCCCACTTCCATAGTCTGTCCAGATCCTTTTGGGTCTGGAGTACCTGCTCCTCAGTTGTGGCCACTGCTCCAGTTTTAGTGTCGTCTGTGAATTTGATCAGCACGCTGGTCACCCCCTCGTCCAGGTCATTGATGAAAATTTTGAACAGGAACGGTCTCAGGACAAGAACCGGGGGAGGGGGTGCCTTCCTCAGGGTCACAGCTGCCCCCCAGCAGGGAGAAAAACAGGCATGCCAAGCAGTGGGAGGGGGGAGGCTGGACCAAGGATTTATGTGATTCCTATCAGTGTCCTGGATGCGCCCACCTTCCCTCCCATCTCTGGCATGTTATCTAGGCAGGAGAAAGCAGACATCCCATAAAAATCAGGATTCAAGGCCTGGGAAGGCCTTGTTCAGAGCAGGGGGTGCATATAAGCTTTCAGGTGTGGAGGCTGCCAGGGCATCAAGAGCAGGGGCCGGGGAACCGCGTCCTTGGTGATACTGGAGTGGTACAAGCATGCAGTCTGGAGCCCCCACCTCTGCCGTACCTGCCCCGAAACCCATCTCCAGCTTGCATAGCTTGCTCCAAGGCTGAATTGTGCTACGGTTACATCCAGATCAAGTGCTTGTGTTTGGTTCATCCTCTGCTGATGGTTTCTTTTGTCTGTTTTACTTGGATTTATGATCACACAAGATCGCCTTGTCCCGCCTACAGCCCCTCAGCCCTTGCTTCTTTCTAGCAGTCTGCACCCACTTAGGCTAATTTCTGTTTTATTTAGATGGGATTTTCTACCACTTTTAAAGACTTACGCCCATTTTCACAGTGGGCGGAAATGGAAATGTTTATGCAGCCCTTCAGTCTGGCCATTCTTCTCCTCGTTCTCCTGCATCATTATAATGCCGCCTTCTCCTTTCCTTTAAAGGTGATTTAGTTCTTGCA